AACATAAAATAGCAAAATTTTCCATCAGCTTCATCATATCCAATCTTTCAGTGTGGGCTTCCTGAACAAAATTTTTAGGTGAGATACAAATTTGTGTAAAGATGTGTCATGAATGAGGCTCATTCGTGCTTCCATCCTATTAAGTGGATTGTGTCAGTTAGGGTCGTGAGTGACTCATATTAATCTTGCTTGTTCATTCAAACAGTACAAAAAACTAAATTTTCAAGGTAATTGAATGATTTAGCTGCCACACAGCTGTATTTTTCCTATTAATGGTAGAGTTGCATATTATAAATTCAAACATCAACTTTGTGAAATACTTGAAGAATTAGAATGATTTGCAATATTGACAAACGAATGCAGCGAATTATCAGGTAGTGAGACAGTGGAGTGTGCTTGAGTGTTGGTGATGGTCGGTGGGTCTGATGGCGCAGATTGGCAGCCTCACTTCTGTCAGTTTGCCCCAAGACAGCTGTGGCTACAATAGCAACTTGCCACCACTGAGTGTGGAGTGAATGAACAATGAACTGTAAAGGGCTTTGGGTATCTTGAAACTGCTATATAAATGCAATGATTAATAAATAAATTAATTAGATAGATAGATAGTTGTTTTGTTAGGAATGTTTCACTATCTGGCATTAAAAATAACTCTGTCTCCACCAGGCCAAGTTGCATGTAATCACCTGTTATTCAATGTATTTTTACGAGTAAAAACACCTGTAATTGAATATATGCAATATAGATATGTTTAATGCCATAATTTGAAGTATTCCTGGCAAAGCAATAATATTTCCATAGATACAAGCAGGTGGCAGACCCTCCACCTGAAAAGTTACACAGTACACCTTTAAGTATTGCCTCATCTAATATAACAAACACAGGCACCCCTCCCTTACACACAGACCACTCCAAACCCTCCTTTCTTTTAGCTCAGCAAGTGTCCTGTTTCTATTTTTAAACACATGCTATAGCGGAGCCTCTGCTGTGTGTGTGGAATATTAAGCAGATCTCCCCGCTCTCTAAAAGACACTTTTAACTGTACTTCATGGACAGTTCATAGATGCTTTGAACAACGTTTTTGTGCCCTCTTCCTCATATGTACTTGTCATAGATACTGAATTGGCCATCACATAAATCTCTGGTTCTGCTTTGTCTCTATATGAGGTGAGGTTGCTGCTAAGGACTACTTTGTAATCCAATGATGACTTGCTGCTGCTGGCTTTTGTGTGTGCTTTACAGAAGGGGGGAAGGAGAGAGAGGCAGCAGGTCTGTCTGTCGCGAGGGAGCTCTGTGTGTCTTGTTCTTGGCTCTCAGAGTGGTGGACAGCTTGAGAATGAATCACAAAGAAAAACAGTTCCCCTATGGTTGGTATGTGGTCACACAACACAATTGAATATAAAAGTAGTAGTTCTGGGCAATATAACAGTGTATCCAGAAATTTTTTCTTGTTTTCATTGATAATGATTTTTTTTTTTTTACATACCATGTCCTATAATACAAATGTATAAAAACACATGCCTTTTTCCTTGTTTTGATTGGGGTTGACATAAGTGTAGAACATACAGCACACCCTTATTTTTATTTTACCATTAAACAAAGATTCTTATTATTCTTTGTTTAATGTTACACCATAACAGCATGTTCCTAGTTTGTGAATTTTGTTCACTGAATAATTTGGTGGATTTGGTATCGGATCCATAGTTGGCCGTTTAATTGGATGACTATTTACAGGTTGATTTTGAACTTCTATTCAAACAAAGTAATCATTTGAAAACCATATGACATTGATTTTCATAACTCAATTGGATCTCTTGTCTAAGAAGTTAACTGTGTTTTAAGGAAATTAGTGACATTTTCCTTACCTACACTGGTATCTGTTAATATTAGGTATTGGCAGATACTTAAAGTTAAAGTCTCAATCATGGTATCAGAACTGAAAAAGATGGATTGGTGTAACCCTAATGGCAATAAAACAGATTCTAATTCTCACTGAATCAAATCGAATCAAATTCCTTAGTATTGAAACACTAGTTTTGATTGATAATGATTTTCATTTTTTAAACATAATAGTATCTGGCATATAATATAAAGCTTCATGAACACACACTTTTAATCAGTACTATACATCCCATACAAATGAACAATTTTCCTACAAAATCTCAGTTCCTCTCCAAACTACATTTTGTTGCTACAGGATTAGCTGAAATAAACCCCAAGATGAGCATAAGTATTTTCATAACCAAATAATATTTTAAGAAATGTGTCAATTTGAATGATGGTCAATAGCATCTTTTGAGGACAATTATTCTGTTAGCCAGTTTTTGCCTGTAGCCTTTTCTCCTTATATGGCTGTTACTGGGAAATAACTGCCTCTTTGTGCAGTGGTGCTTTGCAAAATGTGTTAGTTTTTATGCCAAATGACCTTCATGATACAGAACAGCGACTGACTGGTGTGGGAGGGTGGCTTGTTAATAGGCTCTTTGCCACACACGTTCTATTTTTCCAAAGAATGAATTAACAATTAATTGGAAGGTAACTTTACTATTGTAAGTCCATGATGTATAGAAATAGACATGAATTTGGAACTTTTCCTCCATACATTTTCAACATTTGAACATGACTCACAACTTCCTGTGGGTAAATTGCCTATAAATGTCTCTTGTGTCGTTGTTTAACAAAAAAGAGAACCTTTTTATTTACAGCGGCACTCATCTGTGTTTGCTGATGAGACTGACTATCTTTGTTCCAAACCACACTGTGCTACCTAATTTTCAATCATTTTATTCGTCAGTTTCTCACAAAGCCCCATCTGAATATTAAACAATCTCATCAAAATAATAAATGGATTCTGTGCCCGCTTTATTGACTCTGGAGAGCATCGCACAGACTGGTGCATTTCCAATGTTTCTGTGAAGCTTTTAGTGACATTTTTTAAAACCTAGACTATTTATCTTTTATACTCAAGACATTTAATAAGTACCACAAATGATTAATGCCTTCCCACACAGAAAGCTAATAATAATAATAGTAATATCTTAAGAAGTCAATGAATTGTCTTTTTGTGATGCATTGAACGCTCTGTGTTGTCATAGCCCAGTGACTTTCCACCGCCCTTGGATTTTTGGGAGATAGCTGGGGAGCTCACCATGGCAACAGGATTATTACATCACTGCTCCCCAGTCACTGTCGTCAAGTCGATGTTTGGCCGAGCACTGGCGCAGCTCTCGACACTCAAAATACCTGAACAAATGCCATTACTGAGTGCAAGTATGTGCCATTGTACCTGAAACTTTTTATAGGACATTTATGGAGCCATACGGTTTTATTTGGCTGCTCTCTTGTGGCTAGTGCCTTGGGGAAGGTTAATGGGGCTAGCATGCTGTTAACCCAGTTTGTTCCAGGTTGGGTCCCTGTAGAAACATACCATAAATGACTATATAAAAGCTGCCTAGAGTCATGTGTGAAGAGGACATTTGGATTTATAATTAGCATGATCTCAATTGGTTTAAATCTCATTTCATGCACAATTAGCTTTGAAGGACTTGAGTACACCATTTACATAGTTTAAGATGACAAAAAATAAATTTGTATTGTATCTTTAGTAGGTCTGCATGATTTTGGGGGAAATAAAATGTTTTGCAATCAGATTTGCCATACATGTTCAAAAGTAGGATTCTCCTCAGAGTGCACATGTTAAACAACTCCGCCATTAACATTTGAGAGAAGATTGAAATATGAACTGATGAGCTAATGCCAGCGAATACCATGAATTTCAGAGTATGTTGGTAGAGCTCTAAACTACAGTTTTTGTATGTAGAGACAGGATATTCTGGTGTACCAACTCAAATTACAATTTCATTTCGATTGTGATCTATTGGTGCAGTGCTAATCTGTGGTAATTGTGGTAACTTAAAATACAACCAGGGGAGTTGACAGGGAGGGACAAAGGGGTCTGTTGTCCAGGGCCCCAGGGTCGTAGGGGCACAGAATTAGAACATCTGCCTATTGATTAATATTAGAGGGGGGCCCATGTGAGTTATCTTGCCCCCCCAAAAGAGTACACTGTTCGAATACTATTTATTGTTTTAACACTCATTAAACCTATCAATTTAGAAAATGTTTAATATCACAGTCTTCTTTCTCATCATTATTATGACCAAGCCAAGAATTAAACAAATCCGATAATATTTTCCACCATGGCATGTTGTGTATTTTTGTAGGCAGGACTACAAATCTCCTAATGCCTTGTGTTTGCTGGGAGGGTCAACATGCCCTTGTCGCCTGACAGACCTCACCTCCGTGCAGCTTGTGCTGTGCCTCAGGGTCTCAAGGTCCCATCATCAGAAAACAACAACGAAGAGGCAGAAGGGGCACAGCAGGAGATGATAGAGAGAGACAGGTTAGAAGGGAAATAATGCACCAGACAACCCCCACCTGCCCACTGAGCTGTCCAGTTCACACTGTGCTGAGAAAGGGCAAG